GAGAAAGGCACTGAACCAGGCAGTATGGGGGCTAGAAAACAAGTGTAGAGAGGACATAAATTACTAAGAATAGATAACCATTCCAACAAAGTACCTACTGCTCACTGAGTGGCTACAATGCATATGACAGTGATAGGTTACATGAATTTTATCCATTCAAGGCTGGGTTGCTCTATGGGAGTGGGTTATAGATCCTGTTTATAATGCAGGAAACAGACTCAGAGAGGTTAAGTAACCTGTGTAAGTTCACACAGCTAGGATTCACACTCAGGCCTGGACGATTCCAATGGAGTTGCCCTGACTCTCCACGAAGGGATCTCACTCTATTTGTCCTTCCTCTGCTTTACCTGGTCTGTTAAAGCATTGAGCAATTGGGGATTTGGTGATAAACCCAGCAGTGGCTCCCAGGGGATACAAATGACAAGTCCCTCTTCCACCTGCTTAAGTCAAGTTCATTCCTTCTTTGTACTTCCATGAACACTCAGCCAGAGAGAGTGAGCCAGCATCTATAGGAGGTGCTGAGATGCTGATGAATACATATGTGACCTCTTGTGGCCTCATCAGGCTATACTTTATTAAGCAGACTTGTTGATTACTTTTATATTAATAAGAAAAAGTATGGTTGGATTTCCCCCCCTCCCCCACCTCCTTTCTCCCTGGCTCCCTCTCACTCATCAGGTTTCAGCTTGGAGCACATACTTGTGGTAAAATTATTAACCCCTAAAACAGGATAGAAATGATGACAGCTGTAATCATACACATATATACACACACACTCCTTCATACCATAAAAATTTGTTGGAAATGCTGACTTAATCATATTATCCTAATTGCTAGGTTGAAATAATGATAATGATGATGGTGGTAATAATAAAAGAATCGCTCTTAAATTATTCTCAGAAATATTGCAATATCAGCTGCTATACTTATTCCCCAAGAAATAATTTGCATTTTAAGATTCAGCTTACATCAAGCAAATGGTTCCCCAGGAAGATAAATGATAATCTTTAGTGATGCTTTTCTTTGCCTGGAGTGAAATCTTATTTCTTTTTGCAAAAGCACATGAGCACCAAATTCTATGCAGGATTTGGGCTGAACATCTACATTTGCAGACTTCCAGGGGGTAGACTGGAACATGAAATCTGCTAAACATCCAGGATTCTGACTTAGAGTGGCCTCCTTCAGGGGTACATTTTAGCTGTGCTATCAGCGAGGGCCATTACTGGGTAGGACCATGGCTCTCTCATTTGCTCTATCACAGAAACAGTGGAAGCTTTTGCAGAATGCCTCTGGAAATCAGAGATATTGTTCCCCTTTAGGAAACACAAACAGTCTGAAATACTCTAGCTGTCCACTTTCTAGAGTTTATATTTGGTAAAGGAGAAAGCTATGTACACCAATAATTACTTGTGATCAAAAAGTACTCTAGGAAAGAGACATTTTGGGATTTGAGGGTATGCTGAGGTAATTACAATTGATGATAATTGAACTGGGTCTTAAAGTATGAAAAGTTCACCAGATGAGGGTCAGAGTAAGGAGACAAGTTGGGGAGGAAGAGCAAGGGGAGGAAGGGTATTCCAGAAACAACAAGCTGGATAAGCAAGAGCAAGGAGAAAATAAAAGGTATTTGAGAAATAGCATTGACCATCACTACTACAACTTTTCCTCTGTCTTCCTACATTCAGGGCTTCCATCTGCTGCCTTATCCTACTTGATGCCCCATGGTATGGAATTGTCCCTGGGTCAGAAACCATCTTTATGTTGCTCTTTGCTATTTAATATTTTGTTGTCATTCAATTATAAAATATTTAAAATGTTCATGACTATTCTTTCTATTATTTAGAAATTCTTAAATACAAGGGTTTTGTGTGCAAATGTTTTGGTTACTGAAACATAATTTCATTGCTCTTATGTCAGAGAATGTGATCTGTATATTTATCAATTCTTTAGTGCTTCTGTGGGTGACTTTTTGAACAAGAGTAAGTTAAAAGATGAGAAGTAAGCAGAGCTCTTAAAACCCTTCAAAATGAAATCTGCCATAAGCTGTATAACTCCTGCCAACTTGTTTTTAATGACATCTCCGAGCTGAACACTTACTATACTTGAGAATGTTTTTTTTTTCCCTCAGTGGATAGTTGTCCACACCCAGAACCCCTTAAAATGAAGTAAAATAATTGTAGTTCTTCCCATTATCTCTACAAACTGCTCTTTGAATGTTTTTCTTTCTTCAAATGGGTTGCTCAGATTTTATTTCTTGGGAAATGAAGGGTAAAGAAAAATGTCAGGCTTTTCTGCCCTCCCGCCATCAGGATAGATGATGGATCCTTGCAGTCCTAAATGCATGCCTGATGGTGGGCACCTGGAGTAGGGTGTGGGCATAGGTAGATGGGATTCACCTGGGCTAAGACTGAGTTTATTAGGGCAGCGTCATGGGGACGCCAGTAGAAGCCAAGAATGAACGGAAGCCGAGAGAAGAAGAAGAGAAGCAGAGAGAACATCAGAGAACCCAGATAGAGTGAGGATTTGCTGCGGGCTGGGAGGACTGCCAGCCTACGGGCCCCCCAGCACTCCTGCCTGCTGTGTACCAGGTAAATCCCAATAAAAGCCTGCAAAACCCACTGAAGACTCTGACTCCTCCTTTACCCAGTCTGCTGGATCATAGAAAACCTGCACTGTGTCCATTCCTGCCCTTTACAGGAAGACATCTGAGGACTCAGCTTAATGAGAGAAAGAGATGTTGGGCCACATTGTCACTGCTGAAGAAAAGGAAGGACGGGCTTATTAGGCAGTATTAAGATGCAGTGAGGTTTTGATGAGATCACCCATGGAGGAGGCAGGTGCAATGAATAAGATTACCCACAACCCTTTTAGCTCCCAGAGTTCCTATTGCAGAAAACAATGCCCACTGGAATGCTAATCCTGGTGTTGAATGTCCAACTGATTTTGTAGGGGGTACAGGTGCATCTTTGTTTGAAAGTGTGGTGTTCATTTTCAGGATGAGAGTATGAAAGAATGTGACCAAATTCCCGAAATACCGCACAGGGACCACAGCCATGCCCAGTAATTGCATCAGCACGGGTGCTTCCAGAGAATGCAATCCAGGGCTGGCCAGGAGGGTGTTCCTGGGACTGCTCAGGATATCATCTCTAGTAGAGGCACCTTAGGGAGATTGGCTGTTGAGAGGCATTTTTCAAAGTGTGGACCACCTGAATAAAATCACCTGGTTGGGGAAGGGGTGCAGGTGTGCTTATTAAAATGTTAATCAGGGTTCCACCCTCAACTCACTGAATCAGAATCTACTAGGGGGACCTCAGAAATTTGCTTTTTCAATGAATGGTACAGGAGATTTTGGTGCCTAGTGTAAATTGCTCTTCAAGGGCTCTCTGTAGGTACCTGAAGCTTCCTGCTAGGTAGCCGAGCTGGTACAGAGGCATATATGGATGGGCCTGAATCAGGAGTTCTGAGTCCCATTTTTATTTTGACTTGCTGTGTGACCTTAAGGAGGTCATTTCGCCACCCTAAGTCTTACTTCCTTGTCTGTTAAATAAGAGCCTTTAGAACTTTTGAGTGGAGGAAGGAGGCCAGAACTAAGGACTCAAGTCTACATTTTGGACTTACGAGTTTGAAGTGAGAGCAGGACTTCTGAAAGGTGATACTAATGACAGTTCATTTTTACTGTGTCCCAGGCAGTGTTGTAGAGATTTATGTGTGCAAGCTCATTTTATTTTCACCACAGCCCTATGAGGTACTTTCCTACAGATAAGGGAATTGAGACAAAGAAAGGTTAAGGTCACACAGGTAGAGATGGAAATGGGTTCCAAACTCAGACTCCAGAACCTTCGTTGTAAACAACAGGTACAGACTTCTCTCAGCCATAACTGTCCTGCTGGCAATCAGAAATACTGGACAGCTAAGAGGCTGATCATCAGGCAAATGGAGCCAGTTATGTGGACAGAGGAAACAAATGGAAAGAGCAGAGAGCTGGAGTGCCAATAATTCCAACCCAGGTAACACAGCTCTACTCACTTCCAGAGGACGGTAAATGTGCCTTGGATCGGGAGGGATGTGTGGGGAGGATTTGGGGGAGGCAAATTTCATAGTGTCCTCTTCCCCTCCGGCACCTCTAGGGATAATGGTTCTCACTTATCCCCTCCTTAGAGGCAGGGGTCCTGCTTGTTGTGAAACTTTGAGGACACATTTGGGAAGTTACAAAATGACCACAGAGCTACACTCCCTTCACTGAGGAGACTTGTCCAGAAGACCTGGGCCAAATGTGTCCTCAGATAGAGACTGCGCCAGAGTTTGAGAGTGAGTAAAGCAAATCCCTGGAGAAGGTTCAGTTACAGTGAGTGCTGCTTCCTATTCCTGATGAGTGAGGGGCTCAATTAAAAAATCATCAGACAAGTTAGGGAAACACTATGTTAGAGTTTAGGTGCCAAATAACAAATGAAATATACTTCTGTGAGCTTGACTATGTGAGAGTGCTTCAGTGTAATAATTATCTTCAGTGAGAATTTATTGAGCACTTACTATGGACTTGGCATAAAGTCTTTATATATATTAATTCATTTGTTTTCAATAATAACCCTATGAAGTAGGTACTATTACTACCTTCACGTAACAGATGAGGAAACTGAGGCACAGAGAATGTAACTTACCTAAACTCACACAACTGGGAAGTAGAGAGCTGGGATTATAATCTTGAGTTTATGCTCTTCACCTATGTCACACAAAAGATTAGCATTACCAGAGTAGGGGCATGCTGCTACATGCTACATACTCTGATGAGTAAATACTCACTGAAAGGATAAATTGGAAGCAGACTTAACAGGAGTGTTTTAGCCTCTTCATTCAGAGAATGCCAGTTCTCTGCCATCAATAACGTGCTCATTTTCACATTCCAGGGGAGTAGTTCTGGATCAGCAGTACTTTTTTGGTTCTGTAGTTGAAAAAATGAGGCCAAGAAAGAACAATGGCCGCACTTCAATGGGGATACCCACCTCCATCCGGTTAATGTCGGGGAAGTCACAGGCAGGGTTTCATTTCATTCTCTTCTCACATTACACCGTTGACTGAAGGCCTCAGGGATCTAGTGCAATAAATCATGTATGGAAAAAAATTAAATAGGATAACAGTAGTGATAACCAAGCAATGGGATGACAGCCTAACTCTGGCTCCTGTTGCCATAACACCACACTCTCTTCTTAATCAGATGGCATCAGGTTAGCTGGACTGCACTGCTCTGATACCTCAGGTCAATGTTGCTATCTACCTCCTATGTCTCCTGGTGAATCCAGAAGAATTCCAGAACATGTTCAGTTACTGCTGGCTGGAGGGAACTGCCCTCTCACTAGGAGGCATCAGGCCTTGGGGCAGTACAGGCTAACCTCCACAAAGGCCCATAATGCTATGTTCCTGGGCAGAGTTTGGAGGAATTACAGGCACCGGCTGTTCTCTGTCTGGGTCACTAAGAAAATTCCTGAATGGGGGCGAGGGGTGGGGAGGATGTTGGGGTATGAATGAGCTCTCCAGCTGGGTTGCCACCTGCCTTGCTCCAGACCCTGGCCTCTCTTGGACTGTATACCTAGGGATACTCTGGCCATGAGTGAGAAGCAAGATCTGAGTCTCTCTTAATTCCCAAGGCCTCTGAGGCAGTGAAGGGGGAAGCAGAGCATGGTTCCAGCTCTCACTCATCACTCATCACTGATGAGGGAGAGCTGGCCCTCTTCTGTGTATCAGGCTCAGTCCTACAAGCCAACCCAACAAACGGCTGCTCTGTGGGCTGAGTAAACAGAATTCTTGAAGATCTAGTGCACCATGGCACTCTTTATGCCCTATTTTTCCACCATTAGCACCATTAATTCCTCCGTTAGAAAACCCCTTCTAAGAGCAGCTTTGGGGCCTGAGAGTGAAAAGTCAAGCCTTTGCTGGAGATGAACCCAGGTGCACAGCTCAGTCTACATTAGGTGATGTGGGCGCTCAGAGAAGAAGATGGGGGAGGGCAGTTTTGGGAATGTGGGAGGGGAGGCAGGGGAAGAAGAGGCAAAGAAAGGGAATTAGAACTTTACAATTATGTCACCACATTGCCACAGTCTCTCTGTCAGAATACTGCTTACACCTTTGGCTGCACATTAGAAATAGATGGTCCACTTTTAAACATAACATTGAGGGCCCCCTCCTTCAAAAACCCAGATTCTGACTTCAGTGGTCTGGAGCAGACCTGGTATCAGTACTTTTTATGGCTCCCTAGGTGGTTCAGCCTATGGCCTTACAGGTTCCGACTCTGGCAGGTACATCATTTATCAATACTTCTCTGATAAATGTGGACCCAGCTCCAGTCTGTGCAAAAAGCAATTTCTTTAGTTCTTGCTAATTACTGAGGTAAGATCTCTACTTGAGGAGAATTTGCAACACTAAAGTTCTATGAATCTAGACAGTCATCTCCACAACGACCACACCTGCTTTGTTTTTCTGGTGCCTCGGCATCTCGAGAATGTTTAGTATCAGAACAGTAAAAGACAGTTTACTCATGTTTTTCTGCAATCTTTTGAGTCAGGAACGCTCATTACCACAAGAGAGTCTCATATTCCCCAACAGTAAAAGGGTCTAGCAATAATGAAGTTTGTCTTACTGGGTTGTAAAGATCACGTGGGGTTGGCATGTGAAAGAGCTGTGGAAAGTCTGATTTCAATGTGAATTGTTGCATTGCCCCCTTGGCTGCATGAGCTCCTATTCATCCTTTAAAACCCAGTTCAAGGCCTCCCCGGTGGCGCAATGGGTTGAGCACAGCGCTGTGAAGCTGTCTGCAGCCTCTGCAGCGCAGGTTCGATTCCCGGCCAGCTAGGGAGAGACCCACATGGTGCGGCAGACCTCTCCTGTCTCACACGCTGGTCCCCTCGGCACTGTTTTCTGTCCATCTGCCTGTTCTGCTCCCCGCTCTGTCTCTGGTAAATTCTCGCACCCTCCCGCGCCTCTGGCTTGTACCCCACTTCTTGTATAAATCAATAAATCTTAAAAAAAAAAAAAACCAGTTCAAATGCCACTCCTCTGTGATACCTCCAGAAGATTAACCATATATTGTAGAGGTAACTTGACTATGGCAGTTGTCCCTCTATGTTCCATGTGATGTTAGTCAATGGCTACTGTGTTCTTTTCTGCCAGACATTGGGCCAAAAGCTTTACTACAACCATTTGCTACTTATTCACCTACCTCATGAGAACAGGAGTTCAAGGGAAGAGGCTACATTGCCTCTGGCGATCTTCTGGGAACTTTTCAACAACAATGAAAATGAGAGAGCTTATGGTTCTGAGCATTGAGTAACAATTGGGGATTTAAAGAAAAATCAAGATTTTGAAGTTGGGAGGAGAAGAGTGAGCAAAGGGGTTGGTGAGTGGCTGCAGATGGTTTTATGCAGGGCAAGGCATAGTGGAAAGGTCACCTTGGACCCAAAGGCACTTTGCATTGAAGCACCTGGGCTGCTTTGGATTGAAGGCATGGTGGGTATTGGGCGAAGGCCCCCTAGCCTCGTTAGTGGAGTGAGATAATATTTCAGAATCATTAAATTGAAAGGTATAAACTTGGATTGGAAAATGGCTACAGAAAACAATAAGTTTTTTTATTGTGAAGGGTTATAGCAAAAGAGTTTAATTGCTTATAAGTGTTTTATTAGAACTTCTGAGAAGGGAGAAGACTTTCTAGTAAAATCAGTGTAATTCTGAGACCCAAACTGACACAGTATTTCCAAAGTGCCTGCTTCAGTTCTGGAAAATGTTAATAGGAATTATGGAAAGTAGGGATTCTATGGACAATGATTTTGGAAAATGCTGGGTTATACAAACTAGAGCACAAATTTTTTCTTTCTTTTCTTTTTTTACTCTAGCTTCTCTCAGAACCCTTAGGATGTCAATGTTCCTGGAAAATCGCCAAGAGGGATAAATAATAGTTTCCAAACCAATTTTAAGACAGAACTCCTTCCTTCCTTCTTTCCTTCCTTCTTTCCTTCCTTCCTCCCTCCCTCCCTCTCTTTCTCCCTCCCTCCTTCTCTCCCTCCCCTTTTTTGGCAGTACAACTCAGCAACAGTGTTCCAGAGAACACACCTTGGCACATGTGGCTGTAAATTTATTTCACCTGAGTATAAAGAAATTGTGAAAATCCTGAATATGATATCAATGAATGAAAATATCAAAATATATTTAAAAAGTTCACCAGGAAAAAAAAATGGGTCTGACTCCAGAAATGTAAAGATATTTTAGTAATAAGAAACCACAATAGTACTTTCTGACAATAGATATAAGAGAAAATATGGCCATCTGAATAAAAAATGAAAATATCTCTATCTCTGATAAGTTTCAATATACATTCCTGATTTAAAATTAAAAAAAGGTTAGAAAAACAGCTCTTTAATGGGATTAAAATTATCTTTAATAGAGTAAGATGAGTTCACTGATTTGATTGATATTTGACATGGTTCTTTAGATTGTACAGTCATTCATGAAACAAAATTGTACACGTAAAGGAGAAGATGAAATTATCATTATTTGAAGATGGCATAATTATCTTCCTAGGAAAGGGAAGGAATCAACTGAAAAAGTATTAAATTATTCAGAGAGTAAGAGCTAGTTTAACATATTCCAATTCAATTCAAATTGGAAACATATAGAAAAAAATGTTTTTACTTATTAAAAGATATTAGAGAAAATGTATAAAAGTAGCCATACAGTATTTCTGGCTGGAAATTTTGAATAAAAATTTTGAATAAATTTTGAATAATTTTCAAAATTATTGAAAAAAAGCCAATTTTATCCCTTAATTTGTAAGCTCTTTAATGTAAGAATTAATGGGCTTATTTAGTTGTTTATCACAGTGAATCTAAAATTAAGCAGAAAAATATAAATTAAAAAATAAAATAAAGCAGGAAAAAGAAATAGTTGAGAATAATTTTTAAAAAGTTGAAAAAAGTGATAATGGAAGATTTTAGCCATAAGGAATTCAAATCTATTATAAAACAGGAGTAATGTAGTAAGCACTGTGGTGTTGAATTGGCAGGCACAAGAATGGAACAATATAACCCTGAAACAAACCCTAGGACTATATATACAACATGTACATTTGTACACACACAGAGACAAATAACTGAAAAGAAATACACTAAAGAGTTAACGGAGCCATGCCTGGGTGGTGCGATTAGCGGTTCTGACTTAATTGTATTTTTTGTACTTTTCAAATTTCCTGTGATGGATATGTGTTAATTATCTAATCAGAAAAGCAATAAACGTATGTGCATGTGCATGTGTGCACATGTAAAGAATGTGCTATCTTCAATATGGAGCTCCCCTATGGAAGAGCTGGTTTGGGGCCATACTAATCTTTGCTTCTTCATTGTGAGCTGCTGCTGTGAGGCAGTGGTGCTAACAAGGCCCAGGGTTAGAGGTGGGGGTAAGGATAACAGGGCCTCTGAAGGGAAAAAAGATTGAAGAACAAAAAGGCATTGGGGGGGAACACAGCCAGCTTTCCCTTAGTCGGGAATTATGAAGCCAAGAAAACAACAGTCAAGAGCTATTTTTCTTGGCAAAGGAGGTTTGTTCTGAGGTTATGACACTGCTCTAAGGTTAAATGATGGTGAGTGGAGGAGGGAGAGATGATCATATTTGATCTGCAAAATGTACACCCTGTGATTTTAATAAGCCCTTGGCAGGACCTAAGGGGATATTGGTAGAAGTTTGCCTTACACCTGGATGGGAGCTGTAGTTTCTGGTGATACCCTGAGGACTTGCTCCCAAAGCCTGCAGAACAGGGATGGGGAGACCCGATGGCTTGTTACCATGCCAGCTGCTCAGGGGCGACTGGCCTGCATCTGTCCAGAAGTGGTGAGCTGTGTCCAGAGGGCCGTGTAGAAGCAGCTGGACTTGCATCAAGCCCTGTCTTCTGCATGTGCTGAGGGGCCTGCGCAAGATCCTTAGCCACTGCTGACTGACATCTTTCTCTGTGGAACAGAGATAATAACCCCTACACTCACACTGCCCAGATGGGGCTTTCTGAAACACTAGCTAGGAATTTAAGTTTGGGGCAGAACAAAAGGAAGAAGAAAA